AATCCTTAATGAAGTACGTATTTGATAAAATGTGTACAAAAAAATAAACGCATTTGTCTCTAATCTCAAGAGTATTGTATGTATTGTAAAAATTTTCAGAAGTCCCATGAAAATAAGTACTTAAATATCCTTTGTTCTTAGAGGAAGTGGAAAATTCCTCCAGTCGGGGTATATTCATCAAGATGGCAACCCTGGGTCTTTCATCCCGATGATTGTTGTTACTAGTCATATATTTGCATTTAATAGGGTCGGTAAATGTAATGCGGCGGTTTGAAAAGCTTGCAAATTGTATAATATTATTTTCCGGGGGCTTTTTGCCGAGGGAATTTTTTTCTGGGGCTTTTTCCCTGGATCCGCTATACCTGTAATCTTTTGCTATATTTAGTGGAAAGATGAACAGATTTCTCGGTAGTAGTCTTGCCCTAATTGAAAGCGACAACATTTTATCTTTGATTTAATCAAAACAGATTGCACTGCAGTATGAATTGTTTTCTCGAAATCCATAGGTGAAAACTGAAATCCTAGTCTTTAAAATTTAACAACTCGTTTAAAACATTTAATATAGGTCTCTTTAGTTTTATCAGGAAGTGAGAAAAATACAAGGGGTACCTAAATATGAATCTTGTTGCAATGCGTGGAAAGTAAATATTTGGTAAAAATAAAATAATTCGAAGTGGTCTGTATTCTGTCGAAACTGCCAGACGCAGATCGCGATTTCGATCTTTTTGGATCTCATCAGCGCGTCGCAGACCAACTTTTACCTGCTGTCTTGACAGTGCGTTTTAGAAAATACTACAAATGGCGCAGTAAACGCCATCTGTAGCACGATGCTACATTTTAAGATTACGTATGTTCCAACAAGGTCCATTTAAATATATGGATATCTACTTGCTGAAATGCAATCCCGGCGTAGCTAACCTCAACGTGATAGGCACGTTAGCTTAATCGAATAAAATAATTCAGACACTTCGAATACTTTATACTTTTGGTGTTTTATTTCCATCAGCTGCTAATGCTGGTGGGCGAGCAATCTCTGCAGGCTACGTCAGAGAGTAGGGCGGAAGGTCCTTTTTAGTCTCCGTTTAGGAATCGTGAGAATGGGTGGGTGATAATTAGGGTGGCCACCTTTTCAGGCTTTATTTAAAGTATTTCTCGACTAAAAGGTTTAAAAAAAAGTACTCGGCATAAAAATAAAGTATTTTATTTTTTGTTTTTAAAAACATATTTTTTGTTACACTTAGTAGACAGTAACAAATTGCTGTCGCTCTTAAATACATTAATAGCCTCTAAACATGGCAAACAAAGATATAAGTAAACTAAAAGTTCATTTTTAATTAGTTTTAATGAAGCTTTATTCCTGTCGTCCCGCCACTTTGCGTTCATAACAGAGAATACTCTTTCTGTAAATGCTGAAGTGGCCGGAACGGACAGCAAAAGTGACACTACTTTGAACAGATTTGGGAAATCAGGTTGTTCCGTAAATATGGCTTGCCATTTTTCTGTGCAATATTATTGATGTAAAAATACTCTGAATTTCGAATAATCGCTTACAAAATTACGATGTTTACTTAAGGCCTTAAATAAAGTATTTTTGCGTACTTTATGTGTCTTGTAAAGTATAACGTACGCACAGTCGAAATAGAGTACAATACTTTATAATAAAGTACGGGTGGCAACTCTACTGATAATTAAGATGAGATAGATGAGGCGGACGAAATGAAAACAGAAGAGAGTGAAAGGTTGTATGTAGAATACAAACCATAGAAAAATTTGGACCAGGGCAGGTGGACCTGGAATCAAATCTGTGTCCTCTAGGATGCTAAACAATGATCCATGATCTATACTGTAGCATAGCAGTAATTTACGTAAACATCTGTAGATGGTTATTAGTGTATTTCGAGAAGAATTTACACCAATCTCTTACGTATAATAACTTAATTTAGACGCACTTCTAGTGATTTCTACTAAGAGAAAGATATAGTGAGACATTTATATAATTGATAACGAAACTAAATGCGTAAGGTTTGCTTTGAAATTTATTCTGTGAGATTAATGAACGATTAAGTAAACGCGCACGTTTAATTTTCTTTTTTCCCGAAGAAGCAGACGCGTGTGACCACTTGTGACGATTTATCGCTTACTAAATCAAATAATTTTTGTAATATGCGCATTAAACCAATCTGGTGAATTTTAAATCTGTTGTAATACATGTGATGCATTTTTTGTAGGCTAGATTGGTAGAAATGATAAAAACTGAATTAGAGAACATAAAAACTCAATTATTAGCCAATAAAAAACTACACGTATAGCAATACATTGCATACACGGCGTGACTTGAATATTTTCAATATTTTCAGTTAATGGGTGTTACCATCCTCGTTTGTCGAAGAGCATTCTACCCTTGTATATATTAATTATTTCCAATCCTTAGAAAATACGTTTTCACTTAAACTTGAACGCTTGTATCCTTTTTCAAGTTTTTGTGAAAGCATATTGTAATAAATCTCCTATAAAAAAGAATTCCTAGTGGATATACTCAATCGAATAATTCGGTATTATATTATTAACAGAAGTTATGCTAAAAATATAATTCCGATACGAATCTTATAACCTTGACAAAAGAAACTTAAACACATTTATATTTTTTTCAACTGTAAAAAGATAACAGCGAAGTGCAATTTTCATGATAATGTTTAAATGATTGTTTCTTGGTAATACTGAGGTAACTGATTGAATCTCAAGAATATTTTTTGTAAGAAATTTAATTTTCTTTAGTATTAAGTAAGTGCCATTTTTACCGTAAGTAAAAGAATAATAAATCAAATAAAGAAGGGAGTAGTTGTAACATCGTTTATTACATATGTCAATGTATATTTTTATGTTTTTAAGGTTGTCAGTGCCTCAAAGAAAAGAAAGGAACCGTTATAGGAGTACATCGTTATCCGTCTGTCTGTCTGTCTTTCAAGAGCCTTTTTATTGGGAACGCGTAAAGGTATCAAGTTGAAATTAATATCAAATACTCAGGTCTCCTATAAAAAACAATTCCTAATGGGTACTCAATCGAATAATCGGATATTTTCGAGGATATGTTCGTTTAAGTGTTATTATCAAAAATGTATGTTTTCAGATCTATCCTTAAGAATTTTACTGGGTCACTGGGGCAAAATGAATCTCTCCATTTTTTTTTTTGTAATTTGGTGGAGCAAGACGCCTCTTAAACTGTCAGCCAACAAGAATTGCACCAGTTTCTCTTTTTATAAGTTTTTCGATCGTAATTTTATTTGGAAAAATACCCTAAACAGAAGTTATGCTAAAAATATAATTTCGATAGGAATTTTATAATCTTGACGAAAAAAACACAGATACATTAATTTAGAATACTTTTACATTTATATTTCATGTAAACCTCAATGCTTACGCTGTTTGTTCAAAATGTTTAATTCCTATTTAATTGTAAAGTAGCAAGCCCTCCTTAAAGTCACCCGGACTAGCCGACTCCTTTCGAAGGCTCGAGTTCGAGATATTTTCCTTTTTCTTGTACNAGTAATTATTCACACCCATAGACAAAGAGAATGAACTGCGCATTCTCAATCTTAATGGCCTGAACTTTTGAAATTTGTTTGATCCCGGCATTTATAATTTCAAAACCTGATAACTATAAATGAACTTATAGGAATAATCTGGAATAAAATCAGTTATAATGCTTCCTAAATTGGACGATGGCAATAGTGATGTATTCCTATTTAATTGTAAAGTAGCAAGCCCTCCTTAAAGTCACCCGGACTAGCCGACTCCTTTCGAAGGCTCGAGTTCGAGATATTTTCCTTTTTCTTGTACCACGGTACTTTCGTTCAAATTTGGACGGGCTCAGGTAGTTTATAATAATTTCCCAATATTTTTTGAAATGTACGATAAGAGAGTGTTCAATCGAAGAAATGTTTTCTAATAAATATGTCAGTATCCTACAGGTCCCAGAGGTTTAGGAATTCCTCCCCATTTTGTCAGGTCTGCATTAGAGCTGTGAGGTTGCTTGGACTTCCGGAAATGTGTCAGGATTTCTAGTTCCTTTCGACATCCAGGAATTTTAATAGTTTATTTCGTAATCTTTTTGCGAACAATATTTTCTTTTCTTTCGTAAGGAATAACACATCAAGTGGTCTTAATTTTCCTTTTTTCCTTTACAAATAGGAATTATCAATACTTATTCAGATGACTAGAACATAGAAAATGCCCCGAATATGATGACGTGATGACTTATGTATATATACCTGTATTAGGGTTCTGTTCTTGGCATTTAATATTTCAACAAAGAAATGGGGAAATCTTGTGATATAATCCTGCAAACTATAAAAGTGCACAATAGACATTGCAAAAGTGACACTACTTTGAACAGATTCGGGAAATCAGGTTGTTCCGTANTCATTTTATATCTTGTATTTAAAAACCTTTTGTTTGGTTTCTTAGTATTTTGTAGATTGCTAAAATACTTTTAGTAATAGATAACTGACTGAAAGAGCTTAAATGTTTATCCCACAATAAATCAAATATTCATCGAAGAAGAATGAACGATAACTGTCTGAAGAACTGGTTTTACTTAAGTCTCAATCAAAACCTTAAAAATATAATATTATGTTGTGTTACGTTTGCGTAATCAACGCGATTTGCATGTAAAAAAATAAACTTTCATTAAAAAAAGTTGTTTTTTTACAAAAGTATTTTATCTATAAAAATTATTCAAAAGATACGTATTTTATATCTAGTATTTCAGATACTATTCCAGAAAGTTATTTGCATCTGGTATTTGAAATGCTTAATTTAAAAGTATTCTGCATTTTGTATTCCAGATACTTTATTTAAGGTATCTTGTACATCACTGACAATAAAGTAAGAAAAGACACAATGAACAGGTAATAATTTATCAGGCAATCAGTAAACAACCAAAGTATAATAAAATAATATTACAGTTTATTTATCTTCACAATTGATCAACAATTTTCAGTATAAAAGCAGCAAATCGGTTGAGAAATTCATAAAGCGAGAATACTCTTCAGTGACAAAATGCCTAAAACCATTTTATTTTTCTTCGCAATCGTTTGCATTTCTGGTGAGTAATTATTAACGCTTTTAAGTATAAGAAGAGTGACATAAGAAAGAAAAAGCCAGAAGCATTAGAAATTGTTATCAATTAAAAAATATACTAATATCCTTTTTACGTAGAACACACCCTAGCTTTTTTACTTTCATTTTATTTCTCTTTTCTCTTTCTTTTCTTTCCTTTGTGCTCTACCATTACGATATTACCCATACTCAATCATTATTCTACAATTATGATATCACATACAATTAATCATTAGTATTATAATTAAGAAGAACCAATTTAAAGAATGGCCGTTTAGGTTAAATATGTGTATATAGGTTGAAAACCCCCTTTTAAATGAGATGTTTCCATACATTACACGGGATTGATATTTTATTTTATATTTATCTATTTATTTAGATAAAAAATTTACATACAGCAAATATTATAGAAGTGTACAAAATACTCGTACACAGATACATATGTAGATTTTATTCTGTAAATAGTCTGATAGCTTCAATAATTTACTGATTAAGAATTTAAAGTTCTGTACTAATTCGTCTAATCAACATAAAACATTCAGATCCGAAAAGCATAGGATAAGCATTTATAATACCGATAAGTTACCTATTTTTGTTTTCAGCAAAACCCTCATTAGCAAAAATACTTCCTAAGCTGGACGATGGCAATAGTGATGTCACAGTACCCAACGGTAGCGATCCCATTCACAACCGTAAGTGAAAACAACAATTAACTACAGTTATGGTAATAAGGTACTCAATGTCTATTTTCCTTTCAGCGAGACTCCCATTAGCCAGAATGCTTCCTAAATTGGACGATGGCAATAGTGATGTCACAGTACCCAACGGTAGCGATCCCATTCACAACCGTAAGTGAAAACAACAATTAATTACAATTATGCTAGTAAGGTATTCTAAATTCTATTTGCAAAAAGTTTTGTTCTGAACTCCATATTTATAGATAGATAGATAGCTTTATTAAAAACATTATGTTTTATATATACAAGGTGCAATTACATTTACATTTACTTATTTTCTCTTTTCTACTTTCTCGTTTTTTTGGCATTTTCCTCCTTATTCATATTTTTCTCATCTTATTTAGACCATCCTTTCCTTCGATATTTATACATACATGCATATTCTATCATATCAAATTAATCTAATTTGCTGTTGCTATTGTAATTGGTTTCTGTACTATTCATCTGTAAGGCTGTTGTTGTTACAGTATCAGTTGACTTTTCTTAGGAAGAACTTTGATTTAGATTGTGGTTTATTGAAACCTGTTATGACGTGCTGGTAAGAAGAATTCATCTCGATATCGCGATCCATGTCTAATAGTTTCGGTAAATTACAGACGTTATAATTCTTGAGTAGATATATAAAATCGTTTAAGGAAATGTATTGGTACTTTTAGTTATTTTACAAAATCTATAACTGATTTTGTTTTTAGCTAAACTTCCACTGGCTAAAGTGCATGCTAAAAAAGGCATCTCTCTTCATTATGCAAACCATGGTGAGTGAAATTAAATAAATCTTATCAAATTTGTGTTGCCTAATTATCAATTACATTTTCCCTTTTTGTTTCAGCTCATGATTCCAATCGCCACCATGTGAAAACACATGCAGGTATTACTAAAATTTTAGTGTAAAAGAGAATTTTATAAACTTGAAGACTGTTGGTGGTAACTGTAATAAATTTGTCTCTTTCCTTATTTCTTTTTGATGTTTATCATAGGAACCATTTATCAGAACTTCATTTAGTTAAAAATCGGTTTTTACTATCAATCAACCATCGTTTCTACCTTCGGATAAGGGCTTCCTCAAGGTAATTCGATTTTTATTACACGTGGAGGCTTGCAATCAGCCTTCCTATCAGATTATTTATTGTAGGTTTCCGCATGTATCAACAATTTAATTCAACAATTCAATTACCTTGAAGAAACGCTAAACAGAAAGGCGAAACGTTGATTTAGTGATAGTAATGACTTGTTTTTACCTGAATCGACTTCTGCTAAATGCTACGATTTAATGAAAATAGCTATTTTAGTAAAATCGAAAAGTATATTAGTTAAATCTTTACAATAGCTATCATATGTTTTGCTTTCAGCTAAAGTCTCACACGCTGATGACTATGGTCGACGTCAATAATGATGGTAACTAATACGAGTGCATTAAATAGAGCTCACAAAGGATTTCTAGAAGTGGAATGGTATTTTATTTGAGTAGCGGCTGTAATAGGTTGTATTTAGTTCATTTAAATAAAAGTCTTTAATACTTAACAAAATCAAATTATTTCCGAATCAAATCGGATAGAAAAAGGATTAGCTACACTTGACAGCAAAAGTGTAGAAATTCTGCTATGGGAAGTAATGAAAACATTCGTTTGCAGTTGATATTTGACCAATATTTTACCTAACCTAACATAAGAAAAAAGGTATTATTCCGGCCCGGAATCGAACTCGAATCACCCCCACCTGATAGCAATTGTTTCAGGTACCCCTAATCGTAAAAGTGTTCGAAGCCCCTAAATTCCACTCCCCTTGACTACACAACTGTTAAAACTCATTATTTCTTAATAATAAAATAATGTGTAGATAGTAGATCGGTTGCAAGTACTTTTTTTCGTAAGAAAATGTATACCTGGAATGCTATTATCACCTACAAAAAAATAATATCTAATCGAAAAACAGCAGTATCATGTTCAATTAAACTAAGTAATATAAATAGTTTTATCAGGGTAGCGTAGAATGAATGATTAACAATTGTGCCATGAAAATCAGAAAATTATTTCAGAAAGACAGCAAAACTTATTTCCAAAATTTGATTTAAAAATTTCTTCAATGTATTTAATACACTATATTTTATATATAGCTTTGGTTTCATTTTAAAACAAATGAAATAAATATTTAAAACTAAAAAAAATATTCGTTTGTTTTTTTACTAAATTAACCTTTAATTAAAGATACTGTATGGTTACTTTTTGACAGAGAAATTCTGATAAAACTGATTTTTTTTGTTGTCATTTA